GCAGTAACACTTTAAATTAGGGTTTCCCAAATACACATTAAATTTAGATTTAATAAGACAGTTATCACACGGGGATTAAATACCAATTGATTATTTCGAAGGTGCCGCAGCTCAGCCAAGGGTGCAGCTCAGCAGGGTCCTTGTCCTGCATTTGGCACCCCGGGGACCYTCTGGCTCTTTGTCACCACCGTGGTGACACTTGGCAATGGAGGGAGTGGCACTGCTATTCCAGGATGCCGGTGCCACCCAAAAGGGAGCAGCGATTCCCAGTCTGATGCCAGGGGTTGGTTCAGGCCAGCATCACCCCTGCATGAAATCACCCCGTGAGGGCACCTCCAGCCGCACAAACCCATTTAAACCCCTCTGGTTGTGCCCAGCCATGCCCAATTCCTGCAGCCCTGGGGCACAGGAGTGGGTTCATGTCCCCTGGGGACACGGGACAGCAATGCCAGGGGGTGTCCCAGCACAGGATTGGGGCATCCGTCCCTATTTCCATGTGGGAAGCGACCCCAACTCTGGGTCAGCCCCATTTGTAAAAACATTTAACATTCTTCTCTGCCACTGATTATTATTTATTATTATTATTATTATTATTATTATTATTATTATTATTACTATTATTATTATTATTATTACTATTCCGAGCGGCAATGTGCTGCTCATAGACCGCGGGTAATTTACTTTTCTAATCAAATTGATTTCCATCCAAATGAATTCTCCTGTCCGTCTCCATTCCAATAATGTTATTTTAAGCATCAGCTCTGCCTCGGTACAAATGTYTAATCAAACGGGGAGATGCGGAGGGCAGTGGTGTGTCCTGGTGAATCACAAATCACCAAAATTAGCGGYGCTTTTAGGTGCGGTAATTTATGGGTTGGAACTCCTGGTGAGTGAGATTCCCTCGCCCTCCTGGATTTGTCTGTCTCGGTCTGTGGCTCGGCATTTCTGCCGTTGTTTCTACCCGTTTTTGTCCGTCCATGGAATTGCGCTGATCTGATTCCCCTCCCAGAGCCCTGGCGGGGTGAGGGATGGTCCCATGGGGCTGGCAAGGACCAAACCCGCCCTGAGGGATTTGGGMACCCAAACACCACCCCAGCCTCACCCCAGCCCAGCACAGACAGCACCACCTGCGCCAAAAATCAAAACTCAAAACCTGAGCAGCCCCTCTGCCCCCCGTACCGGTRGCACTTTACGAGTGTCTGGATTGTCACCGTGCCACCGCTGTCACCATCCCAAGGACGTGGCTGCCTGCCACGCTGGCACTGCAGCCCATCCCTGCCATCCCTTCATGGCGGAATTATCATTCCAATCGTCATTATTACCCTTAAACTCCCCCAAAACAGCTCTCCGCAATGACCAACTCCTACAATGACAAATTCCTGCAATGACCAAGGCCATCAATGACCAACTCCTGAAATGGCCATCAATGACCAACTCATGCAGTGGCCAAAGCCATCAATGACCAACTCCTGCAATGGCCAAGGCCATCAATGACCAACTCCTGCAATGGCCAAGGCCATCAATGACCAACTCCTGCAATGGTCAAGGTCTGCAATGACCAACTCCTGAAATGGCCAAAGCCACCTGCAATGGCCAACACCTTCAGCAATGACCAACTCCTGCAATGACCAATTCCTGCAATGACCAAGGCCATCAATGACCAATGTCAGCAATGACCAACTCCTACATTGACCAACTCCTACCATGACCAACTCCTACACTGACCACTCCTACAATGACCAACTCTTACATTGACCAGCTCCTGAAATGACCAACACTGCAATGCCAACACCTCCTGCAATGGTCAGCAAATCTACAATGACCAACACCTCCTGCARTGCCCAGTGTTTTCTGTCCCTGACCCCAGTACCCCTCCAGTCGTGTCCCTCGGGCCCACAGTGGGGACAGCCTGCAGCTGCAACACCCAACTGTGTGGGTGGAAATGAAGAGCCAGATTCAGAGAGCTCGAGCAGGTGCAGAGCTCCAACATYTCCCCCTCTGGAGCAGTTCCCAAGAAAATTAAGACAGGATGAATCTCAAAAACACACCAATAACCAGTCATTTTTAACGCCCTGGGGAGGAGCGCGCCCATGGGTGCTCCATCACCCCTCTCTGCCACCTCCCTCTCATTTTAGCACTGCCAAAATCACGGCCCCACCCCAGGCAAGGGGGAAACCACCTGTTTTACAACGACAGCTACAAAAATAATAACATTAACGCAAAGAAAAGGCCCTTTCCATCCGTCCACGCTCGCTCCCCTCGTGTCCCTGCCGCAGTCCTGGGTGGTGTGAGCCGACCCCCCTGTGCATTTTCCCTCAGCACATTTCTACAGCAACRTCGTTTACTTGGTTAAATAACTCATTTATCTTTTTATACTCTCTGCAGATCATAATACACCCACTCTGACAATACCGCACACCAAAGACCTAATTTTAGCGCTGGTGTTTAGAAGTAATCAGTTTGAAATATTGGAGCGGGCGTACGATGGGGTTGGGATTTTTTTTCTTTTTTTCCCCCCTGAAATACTGACGTTTGCAAGAAAGCTGCTCATAAGGAAAATTCTGATTATAACAACTCATTTAGAATAAATCAGTTTGAAATGGTTTATRTAACGCGGCGGAATGCGCCGTACGCGAGCATCCAACTTTCTGTGTTTTTCCTTTCAGTGAGATGAGATTAAAATGAAACCCCAAATGCAAGTGGTTTTTGGGCACTTCTRTTTTGCTAAGCTGAGGGAAATGCAGCTCCTCAGCAATTTTATGGCCAATTGGGTTGGGGAAAAAAAAAGGCAAAAATTACAGGGAGGAGAATTACCACCCTCAGAGCCCACCCTGCACTGACACCCCCGGCCCTCCTAGGACCCCGCTCTGGCTCAGCCTCTCCAGGTTTGGGGTTTTCCCTTTTCCCCATCCTAAAGACGACATCAACCCCATTCCAGCCCCGTCCTGGGCAGAGCAGGAGTCCTGGGGACCATGTGGATCTCCCAATGCTCCAGAGCATCCTCCCCGTGGGTGTTGGTCCCTCACCCTGGAAAGGGGTTGGCACCGCTGCCGCATCTCCCGGAGCATCCTCACTCCACCCACGGCCTCGAGACGCCCTCTGAGACCCAGAAAACTCCTCAAATGTGCCCAGGGGTGGTGGCAGGAGCTCTCCTGCCCGTTCCTGGAGAATGGGTAAGGTTTTTCCATGGGGAGGAGGTGGGAAGCTGCCAGGGGAGAGGGAAAGCGGCGATTTCGGCTGCTGCTGGATCCTCCGGGCTCAGCCCCRGTCCCTGGCAAAGCCCCGAGCGTGGATTTGGGGAGGCTGCAAATTCAATTTTAAATAATAATAACAACAATAAATACTGGTTTTGATAAGTAGTGAGTGTGGAGGGAGGGAGGGAGTGTGTGATGGGTCCAGGAGAAAAGCCAAAAGGTGCCCAAGCCACAGCAGGTGAGGAGAGTGGAGAGCCCAGGGCAGTGCAGGGAACCCAAAAAAACCCCAAATTTGTGTAAAACCCTTCAATTGGCCAAATCTGGGGGTTCTTTCATACCCTGAAGTGGAGCCTGAGCCCTCAGAGCCCCTTCAGCCCCATTAACACCTCCCTGCTCAACACCCCCCACCACCCAGAAAGASAGAAAACAGAGCAAAGGAAACCTTTTAATTGTAATTTACTTTATTATTTTGTAAATGTGAATTTTACAAAGCGTTTTACAATTAATGATCACATCGGGTTGGTTCTTTTTGTTGGTTTTTTTTTTCCTTTTAAATGGATATTTTTTTCATCATATGAAAACAGCTATGAGCACAGTTCCAGCTCGGGGGTCTTCATCTTTTCTCTYTTTTTTTTTTTTAGTTACTGATATATCGTGTCAGCCATGGCTACAAAATAACAGTCTGAACTATACAGAGTAAGAGCACATAAATACTAGTGAATAATGCACGATAAAAAAGAAAATAAAATAAAAAATAAAAAAAAAAAGAAGCTAGCATCGTTCGTGGCTGAGACAGTTGAGGAACATAATTCAGTGGTACTGTGAGATTTCCTTACAGCACAGAAAGTATTTTTAACAGTCATGAATTACAGTACTACTTAATACCCTATGAAGACGCTTTAAAAACAACCTTGTACTTTAAGTCCTTTTTTTTTTCCCAAACATTCTGTCCAAAGGATTAATGTTCTATTTGAATCAAGTGCCATCCAAATGTTCAAGTCAAAAATATTTATACATTTATACTCAGTTGGTTTTTTTTTATTATTTATTAATTATTTTATTATTTTTTATTCTTGTCTGCTAAAAATAGTATTGCAAGTTTTGGCTTTTTCTTTTACCTTGACATAAAAATCACGATTTTTTTTTTGTTTTTTGTTTTTTTTGTGTGTGTGTGCAAAACGCTTTTTTAACAGTGGAAGAAACTGGAGGAGGAGCGGAGGGGTTTCCAATGTGAGTGCGTCCCACTCGCCCCTCGCTCGCTCCCAGCACGATTCGGAGAGCAGGAACACTTGGGACAGCAGTTGGATCCCGGGATGGCCACGGGGGGACAGTTGGGGACAGTTGGGGACACTGCGGGGCTCAGCCCGGGTCCTTCCCCACTTGCAGCGAGCCATTTCCAGAAAAACGAGGGGTCTGAGCTCAACCCCGGGGGGAGAGAGGGCTGGGGGAGGTGGCAAACCCAGGGGACACCACGGACCAGGGGACACCAGAGTCCATGGGGACACCACAAACCCAGGGGACACCACGGTCCAAGGGGACACCACAAACCCAGGGGACACCACAAACCCTGGGGACACCACGGGTCTGGGGACAGCAAGGTCCATGGGGACACCACAAACCCAGGGGACACCACAAACCCTGGGGACACCACGGGTCTGGGGACAGCACGGTCCATGGGGACACCACGGGTCTGGGGACACCATGGTCCATGGGGACACCGCAAACCCAGGGGACACCACAGACCCTGGGGACACCATGGTCCATGGGGACACCGCAAACCCAGGGGACACCACAGACCCTGGGGACACCATTATGGCGGCTCTGCTCCCCAAACACCGGGGCCAATTCCAGTTTTTGGGGCTCTGGGTGGGGTGGCACCCTTGGGAACCCCACAGCGTGGTGGCCTCGGTTCCCAGCGCATCCCCCMGGGGGAATTTCCAGAGGGGGAATCACAGTTGGGAGGATCAAAGCCCCAAATGTCACGAATGTCACCRGCCCGTGGGACAGCGGGGTGACCGCCAGCCCGGGGGGGCAGAGGGTCATGCAGCCCCTCCAAGAAGCCGTGTTTAATTAGCGCTAACGAGGAGGAGAGGAGCCGCTCCTACGCTATGGCAGCTGCAGGGACTGGGGTGCCTTTACACTCTGCGCTCGTTAAAGGTGCTTGGTATAACTTCAGCTATAGAATATACAGGTAATATTGCTAATAGTCAAGCATAAGAATAAAGGTGCAGACATACCATAAATACTGATGCTCTGATCTTACACTGTCAGACCTAGATGAATGCAGTTTCCTATTCACATTAGAAAGCAGCCCCAAATTCTAGAATTTAAAATAGTGTCGTAAACAAAGAGGAGGAAGGAGTCGGTTATGATCTGATCTTCTTAAATCTGTTTTCCTTGGAAAAAAAATGATCAAAAAATTCTAAGGCACTCAGGAAAGCCGCATACAATCGATGGACTGCTCTGTTCTCACCTTACATTCAGTTTTAAGGGGTTATTTTTTTTTTTTTGCTTTTTTTGTCCTTTTTTTTTCTCGGAAGAATACAATCATTACCATATAACATTTTCAAACATATCATTAATCCTCCACACACAGGAAACATTAGTGCAAAATGCTTGCCCTCATCTACCAGATAAGGAAAAACCCAACGCCCTTCACATTTTAGAAGTTTGCCTTCCTAATAATAATAATAATAATAATTAATAAAACAAAACCCAAATCAGGGAAGAAAAAAAAAAGGAAAGAAAAAAAAAAGAAAGAAAAAAAACCCCAAAATATACAGGAAGTTGTGCTAGGTATAAAAATATATATTTTCACTGTGCAACTTGACTCTCTCCAGACTCTCTGTCCTAAGCCATTCAAGTACTTTGCTGCTGCCCCCCCGGTGGCCCCCCCGGCTGTCTGGGAACAGGTTTGGTCCAGAATTCACCCCTACAGCCAAGTGCAGCCCCCAGCCGGGGGGCTCAGCCTGCTCCCCACCCCCAGCAAGTGCCCAAAAGGAGGAGGAGGAGGAGGAGGAACCCTTTGCAATATCTCTTCTCTCTATATCTATATATATATATGCACACAGACACACACACAAGGGACGACTTTTGATCTCCGACACCCGGAGCCGCTCCCAGCTTCCCTCAAATTTTTGGCAAACCCAAAGATTTGGGGATCGGGGAGGGTCCTCAGCCAAACCTGAGCCCCACCGAGCTGCTGCTCCCTGGGGCACGGGGACACCCCAGGGCCAAGGAACCGCATTGCTCCATGTCCCCAGGGGTGGCAGGGGACAAAGCCCCGTCCCGAGCTCAGCCCGTGGTCCCCRGCTTTGTTTAGGGACGTGGGTAAAGTGCAAATAGAGCCGTGCTCATTCCCACTCCTCCGAAGCATCCCACACCTCCGCACCTGCACCAGCCCTAACGCCTGGTCCGGGGCATCACAGACCCCCCAAAAAGCTGTGCCAAAACCCAGACCCCAAAAGCGTGGGGCGGGACGCCCCTGTCACCGATTCGTTGTGTCAGGAGCAGTGGCACAGGCTGGGCAGCCTCGTAATTTAACGATGCAAAAAACTGCTTCAAGTATCAAAGAAAAACGAAACAAATGGCCGAAAGTTGGGTTATCCTCTCCCCGCTCCCCCTTTCCCCATGGAAATACAAAGAAGGAAGAAAACCCTGAGCAAAGCGCTGTCTGGATTAGAAAAGCAGGAAAGAAAAGAGGAGCACAGCCACAGCAGCCAAAAAGGGACTCTGAGCACCTTGTTCCGAGTCCCCAAAGCGTTAAAGAACAAGCTGCAAACGTCATTAAAGCAGGTCGTTAAGTCACAGTAAAAATAATCATAATTAAAAAAAGGAAAGAAAAAAAGGAAAAAGCCCAACTTGGCTTTCACGTCACTGTCCCCATGCCCGGGGGGCAGCCAGCAGTGCCATCCCTGTGGGATCCCAGCCTGGCCCCGGCATTCCGGGGAATGTCCCACTGGAGCCGGGTCTGTGGGGCAGGTTCCCGTCACTTTGGGGTCTGTAGGGCGAGGGACAGAGCTGGTACCTGCTGCCCATCAGGCTCCAGGGACACCCACAAGCCCCATCCCAAGGCCACCAAAGCCACCACAGCCTGGGGACATCAGCCTGCAACGACAAAAATAAAGACAAATAACTCCACATTGGGTTTTCCCCAGAAGGGGCTGCGGGAGGGTGAGCAGGAGGCAAAGCGCTGCCTCCTCCCCAAACCTCTTCACACAAGGGCACAAAGCTCACTTTTTCTTTTAATTTTTGCATCCGATACACTCCAAATTATTAAAAAAGAGAGAGCCTGCTTGGCCTGGGGAGGAGGGAGGAGCAGAGGGTGAGCTCTGCACGCACCAAGCTCTGCCTGCGGTGCGGATGCTGCCGGGAGCCAACACCAAGAGCTCCCGACTCCRTGCCCTTCGAGGCAAGAACAACGCGCTCTCCATGCCCAGATTCCTCCCTAAATCCCTTCACAGGCACCGAGGGGAGGCTGTTCCCCTCCCAGGAGGTGCAGAGGGTGACACAAACACAGCCGTCCAGGAGCGGCCACGCGAAGGTGCAAACACGGAGAAGCAAAGGAAAAGGAGTCACTGCAGGGAGGAAGGGAGGGAAGGGAGAGAGAAACCAAACCCAAACCAAGCCAGCCTGGGCAAAACAGCAGCCCACAGCCACAGCAGCGGCCGGGCTCTCCTTGCCTGCAGTCCTCCCGACACGCCTGAACCGTCCCCGCTCCCGGGAGAGCCGCAGGGATCTCCCCGGGACAGCAGCACCGAGTCCCCGCCAGCACCGCGCACCCACGGCCACGGCTCCCCCCRCTCCGGGGGTTGTCTGGTCACCGTCACTGCCACGATTTCCCCCAGCCCACCCCACTTGGCTCGAGCCTTTCCCGAGACAAACACGGCCAGTCACAGCACCTGCACCCGAACACGCCTCGCTTTCCTGTTCAGTGACAAAACTCTCCTTAGAGGACAAGGTTAACGATGGCTTTACTTCTGAGCTGAGTGATGGATGGGGTGATGACGGGGTGGTGGTGGGTGTGGGGGGGGTGGCTAGCTTTTCTCCTCCCCTTCTTAAAACAAAACAAAAAAAAAAAAAATTAAACAAAAGAGAAAAGGAAAGGGAAAACAAAAAAAAAAAAAAGAAAAAGCTACAATCTTATAGACTAACCTCAGGAATATCAAAAAAGGAGCCCAATATTTTTTTAAGTAGGTCGCCACAGACCTAGTCGTTTACAGTATAACGAATGCGATTACTTCCTTCATAAATTTTAAATACAAGCAGAATAAAAATCACATTTTTTTCAGGCAACAGTAGCAGTTCAGTAGGTAAGTGGCTTGATCACATTTTTTTTTTGTTTTGTATTAGTAATGCATGCAAGCAGCTTTAGTATTACAGATCCCTTATAGGTCATGAAATGTTTGCTCTCTTTATAAAGTCCCTCCATAAGTACCATCCTGTCTTCTCACGGGGGTTTCGGGCCGGCTGGAGGAGCCCGAACCTTGCTCGAAAGGTTGYGGAGTGCTTTGGGTTTCCGATGCCAGGGCATCTGTGGCAGCTGCCTCCTGGATCACGGAGCCGGCGCCTTCGGCATCCTCGCTCTGCTCGAAGGACTGGTTGGATCCATTGCTCAGCTCTACATTCACTGTGTTAGTTCTCAAGGCTACGATCGTCCCCGAGTCGCTCCTCCTCTCTGCATAGATGCGCTGCTCGAACACCTGAGCGCTGCTGGGCTGGAATTCGGGCTCCAGGGGGACAGTGTTTGTGGAGGAGCCCATGACGGTGCGGTACATCTCCATCCCCTCGGGCAGCATGGATTTGATCTTGGGCAGCCAGCGCTTGCGGACGCGCCGCGCGTTGGTGCACATGTCGGCSGCGATCACGTTCATCTCGCTCTCCTTAAAGCTCGGGGCAAAATTCTGACAATACACTGCAAAGACAGGGAGACACAGGGCTCAGGCTTCCCAGGGTGGCACAGAGGTGGCACAGAGGTGAGCCTGGTCTGGGTGGGAGCGGAGCCTCACCCATGAGCAGAGCTCTGCGAAGAGATGCTTACAGCTCCTCATACACAGAGAGGGGAGGGGTAAAAGCAGAGGTACAAACACCCCAGGAGGCAGAG